ATCTTCGTTAGTTACATGTACACGTATTATGCATTCACGTAGATCATTATGCATATTACATGTAAATACTATGCGTAGTGTTGGACTATGCGCGTATTTGCTCATCTCTATATATGTCCATTGTTCGAAACAATTGAGATGTAATTTCTAGGGACTTCTAAATAAGTTATTCCACTTCCTACGAATTTTATGATATAAAATAAAATTGCATTAGATGTATGCTACACTACTAGTGCTGTGCTTAGTACTCGGGTATTTTACAAAAATCCAAATCGCTGGAGGGTACTATGCATAGGGGAATACTATAGTCAGCGCTCTACAGTAAATGTTCAAGGTCTATCAATGGATTAAATTTTGATTTACTTCCTAACGCTAATTAAGAATTTATAGAACTGAACAAACAATCTATTGATGAGTTTAGAAGTTCTGTGCGGGTACCTAAACTCATTTATGTTCTAAATTCTATAAATTTCTTAACTAGAAAGTAAATACAAAATTTAATATATATTTGCTAGAATAGACTTTCTTCTGTATTTACTTACTAGTTAAGAAATTAGAACATAAAATTTGTTAATGAGTTTAGGTGCGTCGCACCAGACCAATAGCGATAGTGCATGTACATGTAATATTGATTGACGTTCAAAATCAAAGACGATTACTTTGATCGGATAATTTAAAAAGAATGAGCATTCACGACTCGGACATAATTGAAGCTTGCAAAGTAAAAGCAATATTAGTGAAAAATTCGTTCCTTTTCTCAAAATTCTCGGATTTTCTTATCGGTTTCGAGGTGATTGGTATTTTTCAGTGGAAAGTCAGTTTTTGGTAAAAAAAAAGAGTTTCTTTAATTTTTTGGATAGACAAGAAGAATCTTCTATTCTCTATCCACTTTATTATGTTTTTCGTCCGAGCAAGTCATATATGATGATATATTTAATGTACAAAAATATCAGTGCTATCTAATTGCTCTTGAACATTGGTTGCATATGATTTAAATATGTCATACATCTCTTCCCATTTCAATTTTAAGTCGTTTGCTTTCTTTTCAGTGATAATAAAATTATCAGTGTCAGATTCCTCTATACTATCTATTTCTTCTTTAATATTTTCCTTTTGAAGTATAGCTTCGTCAGCTAAATGTCTCCATACATTTTCGAATTGTTTTACATTTCCATAAGAGATATCTATTTTTTTAATCAAAGATTCAAGTACCTCACGTTTATTTTTTTTCTTTTCAGCTTTTGCACCCAAGAATGCAAAAAAACTAGCACCTGCTACCTCGGCCGCAATCAAACCGGAACTTACTACCTGGGTCATAATCAGACTAAAGCCAGCTGTTAATGGTACAGAAAGTACCGTTAGAACTCCAAGGGCGATAATCGAATTTCTTTGTAATATTACATTTTGGTTTTCATTATTTTGTCTACTGCTTTGTTCCGAAATATCGATTAAGCTTTGTAAAAAACTTGCATATTTTTCAGCAAGCTCTCTAGCATCGTCGGCAATACGATTGGCTGATTTCATAAGAACATACATTTTATTTTCCAATTCTGAGGACGAGAAAGTTTCATTTTCCAATTCCGAGGACGAAAAAGTTTCAATATAAAGTACTATTTTTTTTGTCAAATCAGCAGAAAGTTTACTAATTGTCACACTTTTGATAAATAATTTTCTGAGAGCTTGGCGTTCGGTTAAAAAGTTTTTAACGAGACTGTCTGTTGCTTCGTCGTTGGTGATTGGAAGAGAACGTCCGTCGAACGCGTCGAGAGCCTGTTGAACTGCATTGCTATCAATTTGTGGGAGTTTTGGTTTATCAAAAATTTTTAATGTTCGCATTTTCGGAAGCTTAATATGCAATTTAATTTAAAGAGATGCAAAAGTGAAAAATATAGTACAGGAGAGTTTTGCTCATTGAGTTATGGTGCGGCGCACCTAAACTCATCAACGAATTTTATCAGTTAGGAAGTAATACAGAATTTAATAGAACAATCAAGAAAAATCTATTCTATCATTATATCGGATATAATTTTGTATTTACTTTCTAGTTTTGGAACATAAACTTCGTTGATGAGCTTAGGTGCGCCGCACCATATCGATATGAATAACAATAACAATAACAATAATTATAATAATCGTAACAATTATGCGGCTACACTTTAGCATCAATAAAATAATCGTAACAATTATAATATTATTAGCGTTAGCTTGGGTCCTCTAGATCGGTATTTTTTTAATTGTTTTCGATTTGTTTTTTATTTTATCTGACGTATGCTTTAAATTCTAACTAGAAAGTAAAAAAAGGCTAACTTTTTGATTTACTTCCTAATTAAGCGGTGTATAGAACTGAAGATTCTATAGATGTTCTGCACCGCCGCACAAACAGAAAAACGGATACCAATAGTAAATCTATCGCTATTAATTGAAACTCAAAATCAAAAGACGATTACTTTTTATGTTTTCTCGGATAATTTAAAAAGAAATGAGCATTCTCGACGACTCGGACATAATTCAAGCTTTCAAAGTAAAAGCACCAATATCACGTGGAAATATTACGAATATACAAGAAGAAATTTTCTATTCTCACTCCATTCTATTATATTTTCCGTCTGAACAAGTCACGTATGATGATCAATTATATGAAAGCGTCGCAATCGAAGTAAAGATCCAAGGACGACGCTTTAGAAAATTATTAAACAGAAGTTACTTGAACAGTAAAAGATCCTCAAATGTAGCGAGTGAGATAATTGATTATATTCATGAAATAAACTCGGTAAATTTACCAGATACTGAAAAAAAACGAGTTTTTTATAAATTGAAGAATTCTTGTTCTCGAATTGTTGATGAGTGCAAAAATTTAAGCAACGAATATGAGGAGATTACCAAAAGCTTGGCAAATATATACGAACAATTACGTACCGCCCAACGTAAAAAAATTGAATCTTACGCGCCTGACTATCCAAACGATCCATTCTACAAGTTACACTTATTATTCATCAACAAGTTACACTTATTCATCAACAAGTTGCAATTATTCATCGTCGAGAACGTGCCATTTTTATCATACGCTATACAATTTTATAAAAAGCAATCTTCATCCATAGATTTGAGATCTCGATATGAAGCGATTACCAAAAGCTTGGCAAAAATATACGAACAACTACATGCTGCCCAACGTAAAATAATTGAATATATCGCAAAATATCATCGCTCTTCTGTATTTTCTAGACTTTCGAAAATAATTGATCTATTAGGTCAAATTTACGCGCCTGACTATCCAAATGATCCATTCTACGAGCAACAATTAATCATCGTCGAGCGCGTGACATCTTTATCATGCATCACACACTTTTATAAAAAGCTATCTACATCCACGGATTTGGGATCTCGAAGTGGAAATTCATCTGATGCGTTGCTTGTTATAAATAAATCTACATCCACAGGTTTTGAATCTCGAAGTGAAAATTCATTTGACGCGTTACTTTCTATAAAGAAATTGCAAGATAATTTAGACATTATAGTTCAGTTAGTAAAAGATTTTGAAAACTACTGGGTGACTATTGACAAACAGATAAACAAAACATCAAATATAAAGCGTCATTATGCTTCAATTGATAGATTAACGAAAAATTTAGATCAGGAAGAAGTAAACTTAATTATTGAAGAATGGGAAACATTACATCATTTATTTGAGTCGTATGCCACGGATATTAATAAAGTTTTAGACCACACTTTGTAAAAATTTATTTCTTGCTTTATTTTTATTTCATCATATAGTTTTTTTTGGAATATACAACATTTCTTTTTCATTATGCTGTAATTGAAATTTACAAGTTTGCAAGATTTAAAAAAAAATAGAATAAAATCATTAAATTTATTGATAAATGATAACTTTCGTCTCTTTATGTCACGTCCATATCTTTTGCGATTGTAACAACGACAATGATATCGATAATTACGCGAACGATAGAAGCAATTCATCTTTAGCTTAAATTTCTTTAGTACTTTATCGATTTTTCTAATTATGTACATGTATCATATTATTGTGTATTATTATTATGATTACGTTAATGCTAGTACATGTATGACGAACGAAGAAAAGATTATATCATTATAGATTCTGCAAAAAAAAAAATTTTAATGAAAATTAATGGTATTGACATGCGAAGGAAAGAAATACAATGTCAAAAACTTAACACTAATTAATGCATCGAATTTTTTTTAAAAAATATAAATGTAGCAGTTAACACTCAATAGTTGTTGCTCTGAATTTTATAAGATAAACTCAGGTGTTTGAGGGTATGGAGATGAGACTTTACTTAACTTATAAATACAAGACTTATGGATGAGTGTGTGCCCCCTTATGATAATATCTCTTCTTTTCCTATTCATCACTAGAACAGGAAATTTTTTGGCTTAAATGATCATATTAATTTTTACATATCGATACCATTACATAATTGTGAATTTATTACATACTAGATATACCTTCAGTAAAGTTATATATCATTTATTGTGAAATGTTGTAAAATACTATACGATTTCATGTAAATTGAATTGATATCTGATAAAGGCTAGATTTACATGTGAAAATATAATTGTTTTTTATTTTTAGTTGCTACCATGGGCTTCAAATTTGCAGTATTATTTTTAATACTCTAAATGAGTCCGTGCAAGCAGAGTAAGCGAACATCAGTACAATCAGACTAATAACAGATTTAAATTATTAGTTTTATTATTTACTGAACTTCCAATGTATAAATATTATTGTTACATGTATTTTTTAGCCTGTGTGTAAGCAATAGTCATATATTTTTATAAATTCTATTTGACTGTTTAAAATTTGTTTGGCTAATACATGTAAAAGTAACTACAAGAACGACAATAGATTGAAAAGTCTATTACGTAATGCTAATTGAGTAATTACATTGCATGCATATATTTATTTAATTTCTTTAAACACACTACGTAATAGAGTTTAATTTAGTGAATTTTTTATTGTGAGCATACATATATAAGAGCATTTTCTGAAAATAGATAAAATTTATATTACAGTTGACTTCCTTTATAGTAAAGTTCGTTATGGTAAATACAAATGATTCAAAATCATCTATAATAAAAGTCTTTATATACACATATATGAATTAAATTTGTTTGAATTTTATTTTCAAGCATATCTTGGTGAAGATGTTGAAGCGTTGTATTTGGTATTACAGCAGTTGCAAATTTGTGATTCTTTAGTTTGCGTAGAATATTCATTCAATGCTGAAATAGTTATTTTTGAGTATTGCACATTGATCCACTATTATTGAGTTGTAACAGATTATATACATGTATCAGAATTAGGAAGAAAGACCACCAATACATCTTGAATTTGCAATTGTTAAATTTGTAATTATTAAACCTCTAATTATCGTTATGTATATTGCGAGATATTATTAATATAAATTGTGGTTCCAAACTGTGGTTTGAACTTTAATTTAATCGAACCACAGTTTAGCCATGTTAAACTGCTTTATATTAGTTTGAATTTAAACTGTAGGTTAAGCGGTTTGCTTACCAACCCTATATTATTAGATAAAACTTTCGTTATATTTATATAGATCCAAGTATGCAACATTTTATTTAAATAAATTCCGATCAAATACATGTACATGTATATCGATATAGTAAATTACGGTAGCGGTAGCAAATTGCCCAAAGTTAAGAATTTAAACACAAGTATAGTCAAATATGCAAACACGTTCTTATAAAGGGGCGATTGTATTTTGAAACTCATAAATAGATATATTGCATTAGTCGAAATTAAAAAAAAAACAACTAGTTGTCAAATAGTGGTTTTTTTCAATTTCGACTAATGTTGGGGGAGTATAAAACACCCTGCTCGAGCTTATTTGACCCGTACATTAAATAATATCGTTTTTTGTATAGAGAATAATTAGAAAACGTGCAAATACATGTGTATAATTTATAATTATAACTAAGTAAATAAGAGAGACAGATGAAAAAACACAAATTCGTAAATTCAAATTTCGACTTAATAAATCAAAAATTTAAATATAATAATATAAAGATGGTTACTAGCTTAATCAATATAAAACATATCAATATACTTCATATTAATATTCTTTTTAATTTTTTTGCAGTTTTAGCTTTACTAGTATCTTTAGAAAACACTGATTTCTTCTTCAAAACACCAACCAAGATTAAATTGTCCTCCTGCGTTTCAAATGCTGCTCAAATGTTCCGATTCCATTTTCAAAACACATACCAAGCTTGTGTTGTCCTATCACATTTCCACGTGTTGCTGATTTCAAATACCACTTGAGCACTTTTTTCTCATTTTTCTGTTCCGAGTCCATTTTGATAACAAGTACTAAGAGCAAATTGTTCTCTTGCGTCTTCACCCTTTGTTAATTTTAAATACTACTTGAATGCTTTTTTTGTGTTCCGAACCCATTTTGATAACAAATACCAAGATTGCATTGTCCTATCGCATTTTCGCCTCTGTAGTTTCAAATTCCACTTTTTTTTTGTGACCCGATTCCAAAATAATAGGTATATTCTAGCAAGAATTGAGCTGAAGAGTTGTTATTACTTAACAACACTATGAGATGTTTCATGCTAATGTCTATTCTATTTCTTTAATTTGTTTGTTCATAGTTAAACTCATTATAATTAACTTTTGGGAAAACATTAAATTTTTGGAACAATTTAATATATTGAAAAATTTATTATAACGAGGGAGACTCTAACTGTACTTCATAGATATCCAGGACATTTGTTGGTACATTATTCCAGCATGTTTGATATTGTTACCATTTTCAACAAAAATTTCATAATTCCTTAATTTTTACATTATCATATATTATAATTTAATCCAATAATAATCATATTAATTCATCATTATCTTTATTATCATAAAAAATCAAAACACTTTAATATATTTTATATTTATAAATATAGTATATCAAAGAAATTCAAGTCTGAGTTTAAGCTGAAACTTGATAAAAATATCTTTTTCTTCTTTTATTTATATTTTTTTCTATGTAGTATTATGAAAATTTTATTTAATTTAATGAATATTTTATTTATTAATAATTTTTTTCTTGTTTCCTGATCTTTTATTAAATCAAGCTTCAACTATATATCAATTTTTATTTACTCCAATTAAGAATGCTTGTCTAAATTCTTTTAGAAAAATATTATCATAATTTTAATGGATTACATACTAATTATTAATTAAAAATTTAGCATAATTTAGTTACAACAGGTTTCAAAACTTGTCAGAATTTCAGCAGGCTATTTATTAATAGTTTATTATAATTTTGATAGAATTTCAGCAATACTAAGAGATTTTAGTAAGTAATCTTAACTTCAATAAAATATTTGAACTAGAAAAAATATTATATAGATTAATAATAATAAAAAATTATAATTCTTAAATTTAATTCAACAAATAATATTAGTATAAACTTTAAAAAAATTTAGTCTATTATTTATTGCTAGTAGAAAAATTTTTTAATTAGACTTATAATTCTGTAATTGCAATAGTAATATTATAATATAGATTAAAATTAAATATTTATTTAAAAATATTTATATATATTATTATTTATTTATTGTAAATAAGAAATATTATTCATATAATTCTTCTATATTGTTGTGATATGAATTTTAGCATATTACATGACTTTTCATAGTTAATTTTCATTGGATAATTGATTTATAAAT